ATATTCATTAATATACAGTTCATATTTTTGCTCATATCTTAAGAATTGCATGTATAATACATTATACAGTATATAGGATACATATAGACAATTCTCCTAATATACTGTATATAGAATTTACACACGTGTATATGCTGTATCTTTCATTATATACGTGTATGAGGGGGTAGTAGGGGGCTTATTTCCTGACGTTTCTACGCTAAAAATTAATTTAATTTGATTTAATAAATAACCGAATATTATTTAAAGTTTTTCTGTATATTTTTTTGGAGAGAAATTAAGTAGAAAAAGAAAGAAAATATATCTCATGCTTGATATATAAAATCGACGGGGTTATATCCTTTTTCACTTCTCTTTTGTTCATGTACACGTCAACGATTTTATGTATCGTGCTTAGTTCCTCCAAAATCTGACTGATGAAGGTAGCTGGTGACGTAGCATTAATCATTTAAGACGTGGAAGAAGAAAGAACGAATATAAAAAACGTAAAAAAAATGAGTAAAACAACCATAAATGCCGTGCGAAGCGGAAAAGATGAGAGAATAAGTTGCGTATAAGCAAAACACTACCTAAGTCGTCTATCATACTAACACCAAAGAAAACTAGCGGAAATAAGGAAAACCATGTGATCAATGGCGTCAATTCCGGTACACACGTACTCGGTAGGTGTCAAGTAATTCACCAAAAAAGAGAGAAAGAAAAAAAGTGGGGGTGAGAATCTATTTGCCTTTCTATATCTCTTCAAGATGTAAGTTTAGATGCAAAGCAAAATCAATCATTCGCATCTCACTAACCCCTAGGGCGATTTCGAATCTGTTCTGCATCTATAAAGTTTTGTAGTAGTAGATAGATCGTGTTGTGTCGACATGACAGGGGGTTATTGTGTACGATTCGAGTTACATAAATAAATTTTGTTTCGCTCCTTTGCTTCTATAACACGTTCGTCTACCCCCTCTCTTCAAGTATTGATTAAGTTTCATCTTTTGTGTGAGGAATTAGGATCGGTTTTCGTTTAAAATATGATACGTTTTGGTATTTTTTTAAAAGGGGGGGAGAGAGGTTCGCTTTTTCCTTGTTTTTCTTCAATTATTTCTATGTGTTAAATTGATTAAAATCTATTTAATTGGGTCTTCTATCCTGACGATTCTACAGAAAGTCGAGCTTTATGAAGCGATTATCGTGAAAAATTCCTCTTTATCTTATTAAATTTTAGTTATCCGAGTACTATATAATGTTATATAAATGAATTAATTGTCTAGATTAATGTATTTATCATAGAAATTCAATTATCTTCGCTCCTATTCCTCACGTCTGTTAAAATCATTTGCTCGTATCTTCATAGAGGGGGTATAATTTAATTAATTTTTAAATAAAAAAATGAGATAAATATAATAAATCATATAAAATTTTCTACTTGGCTGATTGTTAAAATATTTATTTAAGAAGAAATAAAATAAAATCAAATAAAAACTTGTTTTTTAAGTAACACAAAATTAGCTCATCATCAATTTGTTTCATGATCATCCCTCGTAACACTACATGAAAATGGTTATTCTTAGATCTTCTGTGATTAAATTTCTTTACTTCATGGGTTATGATTTATATTTTTCACGCTCTCTGCTTTAATTTTTGAGTTTTTAAGATTGATTTTGATGTATCGTTAAATTATATTCACGTTGTATACCCTACAGCTGCCTTGTTTTATGTCAAGTGTAACACTAGCCAACTAATTATTCACTCTAGCATTGTATTTTAAAAAAAATAATACAGCTTATATGCATAAAATATGAACCTTTATACATAGAAATTAATTCACCCTCCCATAGATTTAGGCTTGTGTCTACTACATACAGAAGCCTAAACTTTACAGTTTTACAGGTGTATATAGAAAAAATTTTCGGTGTAAACTAGTAAAAAAACATGAATATTAAATAATTATCCTGTTTATTATTATATAAAAACATTTGGAGGATGTTAAATATTCTAAAAATGCCTGAAAAAAGTAGATTTTTTTTCAGGAAGTGGTATGTTAATGTTATCACATTTGTAATCAATAAAATTAGAAATTTTTGCTTTTTAATTGAATGTAATAAAATCCAGACGTTATTTCTATGTTAATTAGGTTATTAATCAGTTATTTAGTCCATAAAATGGTTAATTTGCATGGAAGAGAACGTGTAATTCGCGCTTGAACTCTTGACCTTTTGGGGTCACGTATTGAATCGAAGTTTAGAAAGTGCGAAGGATTTCTGTAACAATCAAATTAGAAACGAGTTTTTAAAACTTTTTATGTTTAAAAATAATTTGGAACAAAGGTCAGAGTTCATTCTATGTATAGGCCTTGTTTAGATGATGAGTTACAAAACTTTACATGTGTAATCGTAATGGTTTAACTAGAAATTCTACATTTATTTGGCTTTAAAATTATATAAATATAATTAATTTAGCTAATTATACGAATAAGTAATTAAATTTAAAACAAAAATATGTTCCAATTTCTTTCCTAGACACCAAAATTAAACTGAAAACGGGCGTAAGAACACGTAATTTCTACGTTGCGAATTGTTAAAATTTTACGAAAAATCAACTAAACATACAGTAAATTATTTGAGAAAAACTAATAATTATATACCCCTTACCCGTTATAACGCCGGAGGGTGTTATAACGGGGATGACGGTTAGAAGGGTTATTGTAATTATTGTCTTTTAAAGGTCCCATTGTGCAGACATAACTTCATAAGCTCTGTAACTTTAAGGAAACGTATTATATCCCCCCTTGTTTAACACACACATACACACAAAAAAAGGGTTCCCCCCTCGAATTTTACGAGTTCCGTATTGTTGTTAGTATTGAAAGAGGGTCAAGAAAATGGATTTGTTCTTTACAAAATTAAGTTATACATTCTTTTTTTTATAATATATTATTTTAATTTATATATATTATTATGATTCATTTTAATGACTGAGCGCTTCTTTCTTAACAATATTTATAAGACAAGGATAAAGGAATAAAAGTGGTACACGGTTTTGTACTGTCAGTCATTCTCTTACTTACAGATTTAATTGCGTTTCGTGTATTATCAAACTGTCACAGACGTGCTGAAATGTGTGCCATGAAAGAACACCTTTGTATAATTACTATTCTACCAACCGGTTTCTGGTTTTGCTTCTTTTTTTTTATTACACCATTGTGCTCTCTCCCCCTTCCCTATGTGTGTGTATCGAGCACGATATGCATTGATTTGTAACGGATACTGTTCATTTTTCTGTATAAACAAAGGGTGCAGAAGTCATTTTGGTAGCCATCAATGGTGTAAACGTCATACGTGACTTGGATTTGTAGATTGGGAGCGCTGGCACCACTCTTTTCTTCATTCCCCAATTATCAAAACTTATTGCTGTATAGTTTTTAGTGTAAAATCCCCCCCTTTGTAAGGAAGGAACACGTTTCTTCACCCCTTCTTAATTATTAATTGTTAAAAATCATGATCTGTATGGTCTTAAACGTGTGAAAATCTCCTTGTAAGTGGAATTTTGCAAGTAAGGAGGCTCCTTGCTTCACCCCTCCTTACATTTTTTAAGCTTATAACACGTAAAACATACAAGGATATTTGAAGGATTTATTATTTTTACGAAATTATATTTAAATTTAAGAAAAATTAATTCGAAAATCTCTTCCTTTAGTGAGAAACATGTTTAAAAATTAATTTTTACCAACACTTTTAATGAATTTTTCGAGTAATTTAATTAATTAATTTTAAATTTTAATGCAGAAAATCAAAAATAGAAGGGTTTTTTTTGTGTAAAGCGTGTTTCATGTAATAGACTTTGAATAATTTAAGGGATAAAGCGATGCATTGTTGAGCTCTTAACAGCTTTCGGTGTATAGATAATTGCTATATACAGGTGTTAATACGGTTATAACATGTGTATACTGTATTGTATAACTGTGTTGCAGCTTTAAAATCTCATCTTCACACTTAAACAATAAAACTTTAAAGTCTTTACGTATGAGTTTGAAGACTTCGTTTGTCTATTTTGCTAGTGTGGCCATGCGAATGACGTTATTTTTCGATGTATCTATATATAAATACTAATCTGTGCATCATTGATCGCCATGGGAGATCATGTATATCATTCTTTGGATATATTGCATGAGTTTGTACGCGAATGTCAATGTCCTTGGTTTCCTGTCACTTTATCATCCAGTTTAACCTTAAGATTTCCAAGAAGTTCAACCCCTCTTCGACTAATTTAATGATTCGGAAAAGGTATCCTTGCCAGCGACAACAGGAGCCATACATCTTTTAACTAGAATAAACGGAGCCTGAAGCGATTGTTTGCCATATTTAGCCTTTCTAGCCTTCTAAATTAAGGCCCTCCTTCGAGTATGTCTATCTTGAAGATAAAACGGGGATGGGGTTAGGTTTATGTTAATTAAAAGAATAATTTATGTAAATATATGTAGAAGACCTTCTAAAGAACTTAGATAGAAGGCCTAATATACAGTACAGTACATACAAATCACTAAAATTGGGGTATTATTTTAGTAAAATCGGAATTTGAGTTTAGTGAATACACAGAAGGCTTCTCACACGCGCGATGAATCACTCTAGCCTTATAAATTAAGGCTACACCTCGTTAAAATTATTGAGTGTTAGGAACTCCTAGTATGAGTGACGAGTTGAGTACACACGCAGAATGCCTTTTATACATGTAAACAGAAGACACCTGTAGGAATGTAATATTAAAACCGTCTAAATTCAGGGGTTTCATTGTTTATTCAGGAATATAATCGAGTGATTTAAGAGTGAGGGGCTTATTTATATAGAAGGCCCTATAATCAAGGCCTCTTAACAATTGTATGAAGGCATCTTAATCCAAAAACAAAGCAGTGTCGTATTATAAGTGAGGATCCCAGGTAGTGTACACAAATAGAAGTCCTTGTATAAGAAAGAAACATAAAGAAAAGGAAACATATTTATTTTCTGTACATGGATTTTATTCATAGAAGCATTTTGAACAAGAAAGTAAATAGTCTGGTGCTAATGACATACAGACCTCTTGAAAAAAGTTTTGTTGAGTGCACAGAAGTCTCGGCACGATTTTATTTTCTTTATGAGGCTTACAAATAAATGTATAATTGACTATTTATAATATTTATAAACCAGAATTTACGGTACGCTGCAACGTGCTTTGGGTTTTTGAAACTATATACAAAGAAATTAACCATGGTTATAGTGATTTCTTTCCTTCCACTAAGTTGGGAATTTGCATGATTTTTTTCCTTTTTTTAATAATATATGAGGCCTAATATAATTTAAATAAAAATTCGATAAATTAAAAGGCTCCAGGCTTATCAGTTCCCGCTGTACAAGCCTTAATATGCACGTTGTAGATGATTAGAAGGCTGTTAATTATAGTTTTATAATGTAAAATCTAAAAAAAAAATTGTTAAATATAGTAGAATCTAAATAAATTCTTAAATGACTCCCCTCTCGAGAGTTTTTGACTAGTTATAACTGATGAGAAAACAAATTTAGGATCGTGCCACAGCCTTACAAATCGGGCCTTATACATTATATGTGCTGTTATGAGGGCATAAAGTGATTAAGAAATGGTGCACGAAGTGGGGGCCCTTTTTTTTTTAATTTTAGCAGCCGTCACGTCCAATTCGGCCGGGCACGATCGCTTAAAAGTGATTCGCAGACACCTCGTGAGGCCTTCAAAACACAGAATGACAGTCCTTAAAGTGGAGACACACACAAAAAAAAAAGTAAACAATAGAAAAAACTGATATACCCTGTTCTACTTTTAAAGGTTGCAGCGTTGTTTAAAGGCCTACTTGGAATGAGCTTAGCCCATTGATTCTATTGAAGAGGCGAGCTAACTCCTGCTAAAAAGGTAGAGGGGGATTATCTACCTCGATACAGGTGGAAAATTTTGGTGAGTAGGCGTACAAAATGGCTCCGAAACCCTCTGTGCAACGTACGTTACATGAGACGAACGAACAAACAAACTTAACAGTCCCTTGAGGAAGTGTTTTATATATAGTGTATATATATATAACTATATATATAGTACACACAGATGCACGTGCCGCTGTTGCAACGGCCGATCTGTGTTGCAGGCTATTTATAAATAAGGGTCCACTGTTCTATCACTGTTGTTGTTGACTGTGGTGTGGTCGAGGCGAGGGGCTGCGACTGGACTCGGATGTCGTCGATACTGCTGCAGGACTACTGGGTGCAGCACTGCTGTCTCCGTAACTACCGAAACTTCCGTTGGTGTTGTCGTTTTCCTCCACTGGTACCCTCCGTCCTACTAATTGATGGTGGTCCGAAGTCACGTTGCCACTTCCACCGCTGCTGCTCGTGCTACTGGCTCTGGTACTGTGACTTCCGCTTCCTCCGCTTGTCGACTGCTGTTTTAGGTGCTGCTGTTGCATCTGTTGTTGTAGAATTCTGAAATTTAAATACATTTCATTTAATTTGAATCCTTTGTAAAGTCATTAAGCTCTGGGGGTAAAGTTAATGCAGTGTTATATGAGGTGTCGCGTTAGACTTCTTCGGAAATATTGACTGTTAAATTAAGCTTTCAACATAAAAAAGTTGAAATTAATAGTGTTATTTCTCATATAATTGATGTTAAAATGCTAAATTTTAACTCGAGCTTAATTTAGAAAGAAGCAAAGTTCAAAGTTTAGACTAGCCAGAGTTTGGGTAAAATCAGCTAAAATTTATAGCGAAATTCAATTAGAATGAAGGAAATTCGAGAAAAATTCAGTTGGGCCAGCAAAATTTTGAAAAATTTCACTGAAAATTTCAATTTAAAACCAATAAAATTTGAGAAAAATTCAATTGGAATCGACAAAATTTAAGCAAAATCAAAGTTAGGATCAGCCAGAATGTAAACAAAATTCGGTTAAACCCATCTAAAATGCTTACAAAATTCGAATATAAATAAATAAATAAATTAATTAATTAAATAATAAATAAATAAAGAAGGGGGGAAAAGAAAAATTCAAAAATTTCATTAAAACACAATCAAAGTAAAAATTAGAAAAATCAAAATTAACTTCAATTAAAGAGTATTATCTGATAAAATAATAATTATCTCTCGAAGAAATTAAATTATCTTACATTAAACAAATTCAATTTTCAAAATAAGAAGAAGGAAAAAAAGAAAAAATGAAGAAGACAAGAAGAAGGAGAAGAAGAAGAAGAAGGAATCCATTTTGAAAATAATTTAACTTAATTGAAATAAGTAAAAAGCTCAGAAAAATAATTTAAAAGTAAAAATAATGAAAATGATTTCTGAGTGATGCCATAAAGAAGAATAAAACTTAAATATATATATATATATATAAGTAGAAGGGGTGAAATTAGCTAGAGGCTATCTGGATAATAAAATGGAAGAGGTGAACAGAAAGATAATTAAATCGTTAAGATGCATTCTTACAATTTAATTATTTCAGTAACTCATTTCTGATCTCTCTTCCTCCTCCTCCTCTTCCATTTTTTTCTCCCCTTTTACAATAATTTGGCTCGATAAATCTCATAATTTGATACTGTAACATTTAATATACAATATCTACAAGAGTATAAACATAAAATAAACTTAATATACTCGGTGTTTTAACTATTTAAAACACGTTTTCTAACCCACCCCACTGTCGTGTAATTGCTAGAAGTTTAGGAGAATGAAGATAATTTAAACGTTTTCCTCCCTTATCTAATCTTTGATAATGTAATAAACTGCGTGTTTAACATTGTTTCGCTAATGTGGAACAATGTGCAACTATTGTTATTAATTAATTAATTTTTCGAGGGGGGTGAGTTTATGTGTTTAGTAATGTTTAGTAGGAAACTTCTCTATTGGTTGGCATGTATGGGTTTGTTGTTTGTTACGCTATATCGAGGTAAATATGGCAGTTATGTCGACCAATTTAAGTTGAAAAGTATGCTGATTTTCTGTAGTTTGTTCATGCAAATTTTCGTGAAAATCGGATGGTTGTAATTTAAGTTACATCTAAATTTAGTGAGGAACCTTTATTATCGGTGCCAGTTTGTTACGTAATATAGAAGTAAATATAGGAGTTATGTTAATAAAAATGGGTTGACAAATACGCTGATTGTCTATAGTTTGCGTGTGTAAATTTTCGTGAAAATTAAATGAGTGTAATTTACTTTAAATTAATTTTAATTAGGAACCATTACTATACTTTCCTATCAATCTGAGCTATTTGTTAATGATTTGAGCTATCTGAGATTGGAATTAAATTATGAAAATGCTTCAAAAACACGTAAACTCTGTAAAGTTAGGGATTTTTTTCTACAAATTTTCACGAAAATTCAATTAAGTTTTATTCTAAATTCACGAATGTGTCGTGTATCCTCATATCAAATTAACTCATCTTTTAATGTAAATTTGAAGCTCCCAGTTCAAACGTGGGAGATAAATTGATGAAAATGTATTAAAACACTGTAATTATCTTTAAATTATTTAAATTATGTGAATATATATTCAAATAAATAAAAGAAATTGAACATTATTTATCCCTTTTTTCTTCCTCCTCCATTAATTTATTGGAAAACAGTACAAGTTGTTGCTTTACATATGCCAAAATATAGGAGATATATTCATGAAAATAATACAAAAACTACCTTATTATCTATAGAATCTATGTATAAGTTCCCAAGAAAATGGAATAAAAATAACCACGTTTTTAATTTAGTAACAACGTTTTATGTGTTCAACATTTCGTGTCTACGTAATTTAACCTCTATTAGAAACTATATAAACCAAGTATAAGCATTACATTAATGAAAATGTATTAAAAACAGTGTAATTACCCTTAAAATTTTAAAATGATTTATATATAAACTTAAATAAATGAATAATTTTAAACCCCTTCCTCACCATTCATATTAATTTGTTAAGGAAGTTAATACAGGTTTTCGCATTACAGGAGCCGAAATAATGAAGCTACACTGATGAAAATTACAGAGAAAATCCCTTATAATCAATAGAATTTGTATATAAATTTTCACGAAAATAGGACCAGGAATTTTATATTTATTACAACAAACGTATGGACATATATATAGCCTGGTATAAGTGAATAACTTGATATATGAAATTGGTTAATCAACTATAAACAATTTAAATATAATAGATATATATCTAGCATGTATTTTTAGTATTGACCTTATAACTGATTGTAGTCTCGTTTGTTCCGCCATATTTGATAGCAATGACAACATGATTGACGAAATTTACTATAATAAAATACCTGTAGATACAATATTCCTTCCATGTTGAATAATTTAAAAATAATGATTTTCAAGATAGGAATCTTTAAAAAATAGTGATAGAATCATAAAATTTAATGTATTTTTAAGTGTCGAATTCAAGTTGTGTTGGCCTAAGAGGTGTAGAAGTCCAAGTTCACATCCAAATTGGAAAATTTAGATCGCTATCTAAAGGAAACAAACCTTATAATTAAGCATAGAACATTCGGATGATCAAGCTTAAATTGAGTGTAGTAAAGGTAATATATAAAAAAGGGGGGTTCTATCCGGTTGGTGCTACGAAAATGTCGACTTATGTGCGGATGTAGTGTTTTTTTTTGTTTCTTGACCTAAATTTAACATAGTAGAAGGGTGTAGAATCGAAAATTTCATTCCTGATACAGTTATTATTGTGTTGTGACAAGTTATGAACCACTCTCTTTACTCCATATATACCAGAAAGTTACAGAAAATAACGTGAAGATACAGAGTTTGTGAAGAGCAAACACTGAAAGTAAGGTTTAGTGATGAAATAAACTGTAGAAAATCGAAAGATTTTAAGTTTATTTAAGGGGTAAATTATTATTTTTTTTCGTCGAGTGAAGAGCGAGCTTTCGTGTCGTACGTAATTATCATAAAATAATTGATACTAGATCAATAATTTCTTAACTTGTCACTGGTTAAATCTAGTTTATTCTCATTAGTATGCTTATAGAAGTGTTAGGGTGATGTCCTCTTTAAACCAGTTAGCTGGCACTTACACTATGAATCTCAGGTTACTGTCAAGGTAGTATATTCAAAGATACCCTTATATATCTTAGTATAGTGGTTGTATATCTTAACATTTAAAGTATTATCCGGGGTAGGACTGTTAAAATTTCCATTCGCTACGTTAAATTAAAGGATACACAAGGTTAAAATCGTATATTTGTGGTGACGTATAGGGGTGAAATATTTTAAAAAGTAATTAAATTTAAGCAATTTTAATAAGTTTAAAGGCTAAATAAAAAAAAGAAAATGGCAGCTGGAGAAGAAGAAAGATGAAGAGAATCTCTTGTGTTACAAATCAGAAAAAAACACCTACACGTATACGTGACAAAAGTATTCATTAAGTTCTAACCAACGCTTCTGTGCAGTTTCAAAAATTAAGACAAGTCTATATTAAGTGGCCTCATTTGGAAATCAGGCTGAGAGGGTCGACACCACATGGGATAGGTCAATTCATCACAGGCCATCTCTCCACACGTCTGTCAGAGTGGTCCTTAACCTGACACAAACAATTCCTTTATAGAAAATTGTTAAAGGAGACGAAAATAAAAAAAAAGACGACGACGATGATGATGAAGATGATGATGATCAACGCTTCCTTCTTTTAAGTAAAAAAAAAAAACGAAAAAATTAACTTATTTTAAAGCCTTATTAAGTTGTGTAGTAGAAAATGGATGCTGCGATTTTNTTTGCTATGACAATGAGAGCGAATACGGTTACGCTGTGTTAAACTAGTTAAGGTATAGAGGAAAAAAGGAGAGTTCAACCATTGGATCTACCTATTTAAAGGAGACGAAAATAAAAAAAAAGACGACGACGATGATGATGAAGATGATGATGATCAACGCTTCCTTCTTTTAAGTAAAAAAAAAAAACGAAAAAATTAACTTATTTTAAAGCCTTATTAAGTTGTGTAGTAGAAAATGGATGCTGCGATTTTTTAAAATAGCATTCATTAAACGATCGTTACTTCAGCCTCATTATTTCTAGGATAAAGGAGAAATGTGATCTCTATAGGCTAGTTGGGGTTTAAAGAAAGGTAAGAATGTCGATCTTTTAGAAGAATCGAGTTACTGGATGGTCAAATTACCTTTTTTCAACCCCCTTTCTTCTTCTTTTAAATTTGCATCTTGTATGGACAGTGAGATCACGCCCGTTTTAACAATCGGAGTAAGTTAATTTATCATCATACTTATCTGTCAACAAGTGGATGGAGGTTTTTTTCTATCTCACCTTACTCCTTTTTTTTAAATATTCTAGTATATTTTAGGTAGGATTTCGTTGAGGAAATTGAGGAAACGGCGATCAGAAAGCGCATTTTAATCGAGGTTATAGTCATTTGTGTTATAAAAAACACACTTTACAGTGATTTTTGGATGGTAAATTGTGTTTTATAACTAAAA